TATTTTAAAAAAATTATTCATGGGCATATGAATGTCATAAAGCCTCTTCATTTTTAACTCGGGTTCTTTAACTGACTCATGCTTCCTGTTCTTGTCTTGATAGTCAGCTTTCTTGTGAGGGAACCCTAACTACAAGAAAGGAAAAGTTTTTAATAAACACTGACTTCTTATCCTAAAAATAAGAACCCTAAAGTCTAGACAAAGATTTGTTTGATTGCTGCAGCTTAGAGGGAACACAGCTTCCATTCCTATTCTTTGCTTTCATGCCTATTGTCCTGTTTATGTAGTCTTTTTACCAATGAGGAAACTGAGGCTGACAGTAGTTAAATGACTTGCCCATGGTCACATAAATTCCCTCTAGTGCTGCTAAGATCCCTTCTAGCTCTAAATCTAAGATCCTATAATTTATAAATTCAACCTACATCCCTAAGTTCTTTTTGATGATTCACTTTGATATCTTCTTCCAGACTGACCCTTGGAGAAATAATTCCCTTGCCACCCATGGACTGCTTCAAAAGTTTTCTACATCTCTATTAATTTGGTACAGTAGTTAGAGCCCTAACTCTGGCCTCAGAGGACCTGGGTTTAAATCCTGTTTCTGCCTCTTTATAATGTATGTAACCTTGGGCAAGTCATTTCATTTCCTTAGTTCTCAGTTCCCTCACCTGTAAAATGAGAAGGTTTTGCTAGACAGCCTCTGAGGTTCCTTCTGGCCCTACATTTATGATCCTATGGTCCTTCTTTATATCAGTTTCTGAGGAAGATGTGACTCTACATCCCCATTTCCTTCTGTAACCTCTATAATCACTACCCCTCTTCCTGTCATTTTCAGTCTCTTCTTCCAGCATCCTCCTCACTTCCTACAGCCTAACCTTCATGTGCATCCTTTTTCAAAGCAACCCTTCACTTGACTTCCATTATCTCAAGCTACTGTTCTGTGCTTCTCTTCCATCTCACAGTCAAACTCACAGTCATCTACACTTAACTGACTCTTCTTCTTCATCATCCATTAATTTCTCAAGCCCTAGCCATGCAGCTTCTGACCCCACCATGCCACTAAAACTGTTTTCATAGAGTTAAGCAATGATCTCTTAACTTGCCCATCTGAAAGCCTTTTCACAGTCCTCCTTGACCCCTCTGCTATTGTTGACCATCCCTTTCTTCTACAATTCCTCTTTTCCTTGGCATCATGATACCGATCTTTCCCAGTACTCCTCCTGCCTATACTCCTTATCAAGTCTACTTTGATAGATTACCATTTATCCTCCTGCACCCAAAGCATGAATAGTTCCCTAAGATTCTGCCCTTGGGCCTCTCTCCTTCCCTGTCTACCTTGACCTCATCTGCTCCCAGGACTTCAATTATCTTTACAAACCTATACACCCTGTTCTGATCTCTATCCTTAATTATAGGTCTGCATTTCTAATTGCCTCCTAAACATCTCTACTTGCTCAGCTTTTAGGCATCCCAAACTGAATAGATCCAAAACGAAATTCATTATTTTCTCTCTTCCCCACGACCCCACAAAACCCTTACAAACCTTGAAATTATCCTACTGATGTTAAAGGTCACTACCATTCTTAAAGTCATTCAGATTCATAACCTCAGTCATCCCTGACTCTTCCTTCTTGTTCACTCCCCATTTCCAATGAGTTGCCCAGTTCTTTCATGTCTCCTTCCGTATCTATTGCATTAGTCCCCTACTCTTCTTTCACTCAGCTACTACCCTAATTCTTCAGGTTCTCAGTGACAAGTTTTTGATATGAAGCCAAATTTGAACTCAGGTCCTCCTGACTTCGGAGCTGGGGCTCCATCCACTGCGCCACCTAGCTGCCCCTTCATTTCTGATTTCTATGGATACAAACTATCCCCCATGTCTGGAGTTCTTGCCCTCTTCATCCCCACCTTTCAGAATTTTTCTCTTCCTTCAAGTTTTACTTCAAGTGCTGTCTTCTTACTGACGAGTGCCCTGATTTCCCCCAGTTGCTAGATCTCTCTCTTGCCTCAAAATTGTATGGACTGACCCAGTGATTTCATTGGTATGGCAACTTCTGGTGAAGTCCAGCAGCTGTTCTCAAATTTAGGCTTGGAGAGATGCCTGGGGCACCTGACATTTGACTTGTCCAGGATCACACAACTGATAAGTTTCAGAGGCAGAACATGAAATAAGGTCTCCTTAAGCTCCTTCCATGCCCCAAGTTACTTTGTATTATATACTTAGAACCATAGATTTAGAGCTGAAAAGAAGCTTAGAGGTATTCAAGTCCAACCCCATCATTTTATAAACAGGAAAACTAAGAACTAGAGAGAAAAAGTGACTTTCCAAGGACATAAAGCCAGTAAGTAACAAGAGCTGGGATTTAGGTCCACTGACTCCAAATCCAGAGTCTTTTTATTGTACTGTTCTCCTTCAGCTATTTACATGTTGTATTCCTTTTGTTTCAATGTCCTCCAGCCCTCAGCACAGTGCCTTGCACATAGTAGGTGCTTACTAAATGTTCATTTAATTGAATCCAATTAGGATCGTAAATGATAAACATAAGATCAAAGGAACTTTAGCCCCAAGTAGACATTTTCCACTTATACCTATACTACTGGCATAGTGTATTGGCTTAGTGTTAAAGTCAGGAAGCCCTGGATTCAAGTCCTAATTCTGGCACATACCATGTGACTATGGATAAATCATTTAACTTCTTAGTGCCCCCATGAAACTTTTTAAGGTTATCTGCATTGGTGGAGAGAATTTCCCCATCAGAAGTTTCCTGTACCAATGAAATCACAAGTCTAGTCTCCTCTACCTTCTAATCCATTATACAAATCACCAACTGATTACTCTTCCTAAAACACAGCTAGATCCCTACAATATATATACATAAATACACACACACATATGCATACATGTGTATTTTTTTTTGTTGTTCAGTCATTTTAGTTATGTCTGACTCTTCATTTCCCCATTTGGAGTTTTCCTGCCAAGATAGTTTTCCATTTCCTTGTCCAGTTTTTCTGCCAAGATGGTTTTCCATTTCCTTGTCCAATTCATTTTATAGTTGAGGAAACTAAAGCAAACAGGGGTAAGTGACTTGCCCAGGGTCACAGAGCTTATAAGTATCTGAGGCCAGATTTGAACTCAGGAAAATGAGTCTTCCTGACTCCAGGTCTGGAGTCTGAGGTCTTCCTGACTCCAGGTCTATCCTCTGAGTCATCTACATGTGGATAAAATAAAGGTGACTGAAAAGAATGTATGTAATAACCATTAGACTGTGTCCCCAACAAAGAGTGTGGAACTTCAGAACTGCCTCTGTTTTCCTAAACATGGATGTTGTTATTTGAGTATTCTGTTATTTAAATTTCCCTCTGGTTATTCATTGTCCTTTAACTATTTTATAAGAGCAGGGGCCATGACTGAAGCTCCTTTGCATTCTCCCACATCACATAGAGGGAAAACCGCTAGCAGTGCTTTAGTGAATGAGTTGATTAAATTTTTAAACACTGAAGCATTTCCATAAGTAAAATAAAATTCAAAATAAAATCAGAAGGTAATATCATTTTCAGAAATTCTTAAGAAGCACTTCAAAATCACTCACTGAACATAACTAGGATATGAGGAGGATCAATATACACAGTTTAAATAATCCTGATGGCACAGAAGATGATTTTATATCCATTTAAATTGATTTTGTTGAATCTTTCAGAAACTCTGGCGACTCATTAAGCTTATAATTTGTTGCACAATTGTTGATCTTCATTGCTAAAGGGAGTTTTTTCACTGGAAGTTACCTACACAAATGAAATAACAGATCCCGTTTGGGAAAAAAAAAAAAAACAACCACAAGAACCTTACTTTACTCCTTATTTCTGACAATAACATGAGTAAAACTAATTAGAGTAGTCTGTTACTAAAGTCATAAATGAAAGGAAACTGTCCACATCTAAAAGTGTTTTTATTTAACAAATTAAAATGATATCTAGATAACTTTTCTTATCATCCAGAAGCAGAATGATTTGAAGACTAGAGAAGGACCTCATCATTCTGCAAGATGGAATCAGCCTTGGCACTCACATTCTATCAGCATTCTCTGTCTCTCTGATTGGCTATAGATTAGAGCTGCACTATTTTTGGACTTTATCATGCTTGTGCTATTCTGTAAGCTTCTTGAGGTCAAGAACTGTCTGTTTTTATTTGTATTTGTGTCCCTATGCTTAGCACAGTGCCTAGCACATAGTAGGTGACTAATAAATATTTATTGACTATTAACTATTAAAAAACCTATTAAATTATTAAATTAACTATTAAATTATGGAATGAAATTAACATTGCTTTCAATGCTCTTCTGGAAATGTAATATTGGCTCAAGAGATCTGTATTAGTTCTGCTGCTTGGACCATTTCATGATAGTACCTGTCACCAAGAGAAATAATAATATCAATAATAATAGCCAGCATTTATATAATGCTTTAAGATATGCAAAGTACTTTAGATACGTTATCTCATTTGATCTGCATGACAACACTGTGAGATATATGCAATTGTTATTTCCATTTTACAGAGGAGGAAACTGAGGCTGAGAGCATTTTAACTGACTTGCCCATGGTCACAGAGCTAGGAATTTGAATCCAGATCTTTCTCAACTCCAAACCCTGTGCTCTATCCACTGTGCTACTAGCTGCCAGCAATATTAAGAAAAAAAAAATGAAAATAAGCCTAAAGAAAGCAAAAGTAGTTTTAAAAATTGTGCTGGAGTAAAACAGCAAAGCTAATATAAGAGACTTTGAGGACAGGTAAGGAAATAGATCTGAGTGATGCCTGCTATGAAGAGAAACCTGTCACTTGTCCTTCCTGTTAGAAAACTCAAAATTGTTTACAATATATCCATTGAGGTTAAGCCTTCACTTTCACAGCTCATCTGTAGTCTTGAAATAAAAAAATCTTCTTTGATCAAGTGACCCAGGAAGGAATTGACCTAGATGATAGCAAAGGCCACGTGAGTTCTGAAAGCTGATGGTTCTACCTACCTATAATTCTGAAACAAAAGAATTTTCACTAGAGTCTTAATTGGGCAAGGCCATCTCCACTGACCTTATTTTATGCATCTTTATTGGTATGTGTTAGTTAGAACATGTGGCACAGCACTGTGGAAAGAGCACTGGATCACGAGCCAGAGGATCTGGATCCAATACCTGGTTTTGCTACACTTCATCCTTGGATGTGACCCTGGGTAAGTCATTTTGCTTCTCAGTGTCTCAGTTTCCTCACCTGCAGAATGAAAGGCTTGGACTAGGTAGCATCTAAAGTCCCCTCAAGCTATAAACCTATGATTCTTGTATTCTATTGAATGCCTGTGCCTGGAGCATTTGACTAAATGTGAAGAGATCTTAAATAACAGTGAGACAATGGGAAGTTTAAAATCAGTGTTTTGAGGGTAAATGATCTGATGGCAGTGTGTAGGATGGACTGGAAAAAGAGAGAACGAAAATGGAGATTCCTGTTTAGAGGCAAATGCACTCCTCAAAAGAGATGGGAGATCCTTGAGTGTGGAAACTCTGCAGTAAGGTAAATAGCACAAGGAATTATATACCCACTTCAAAGATTAGAAAACGGAATTGCAGAGGTTAAGTGTGATTTGTCCAGTTTCACATAGCTAATGTGTTAGACCCTGGATTCAGACTCAGATTTCATGCAGCTTCAAGTCCAGTGGTCTTTCTGACTGAGATTATGAGCCTAAGCGACCGAGAGAATGGTGACAGAAGACATTGTCAGAAACAGACTTGAGAAGGCTTGCTTCTCAGACATGTTCTATTTCAAAGGACAACAACCACAGTTTTGTGTAAACAGCGCGTTAGCCCACTAAGAGGAAGTTTTTGGTTTTCCTAAAATTCAGGAAAGGAAACAAAGCTTTCCCAAAAAACTTCCTCCAGTGAAGAAGTTAGCATCTGTGCAACTTCTGTTAAGTTTGCCTGATATGCTGTGTCTGCAATGCTTAATTTACTGGGAGCAAATAGATCGTCAAAAGCACTGGGATCTACCAGGAATATAGCAGCTCTCAATTGTTGTTCTTGTTGTTAAACTAACTCTGACACAAATTACTGCATAAACCTAAACAACACTCCTATCCTTCTGAGAGCCTCTGTCATCCTTTATGTAAAATTTACATTAAGGTGATGAAAATCCTTTCTTAAGGAAGAATAATTAAAAAAAAACTAGCAATCATTAACTTAACACAGATGTTAAGTAACCATTGAGTAATATAAAAAGGTGAAAATGGAGCAAGGAAAGGGGTTGGAGAAAGGGATGTGGTAACACATCAATTAGAATAGGAACCAAATGTGTAGTCAGGAGGATTTCCACGTTGAATGTGTTATAGCCCTGACACAGAAGGATTGCTTAAATTTTAAATTTCTCCTGTAACAATCAATGTAAGCCATATATTTTATTTTCTTAGTCCTGTCCAAAATCCTATTTTGATGCTTCATCATGGAATGGCACTAACCCCAGATTTTCAAAGGCTATGCCAGTCAAACACTGTGTAAAAGCTTTGAGCATGGTTCCAGCAACATAGCAAGCCTGCTTTCTGAGAACAAGCCTAGCAATGTATGGAAAGTCTCACCATAGTAGACTGGTCACTTGGTAGGGACTATGTAGGCCATAGAAACTCATGAAAAACAGAAAAATATGAAATGGCCTTAGGGCATGTGTGGCCCCCTTCAATTTCTGCAGTGATGGTGACAGAGTGGCAGAAGTGGGGACAGGAGGTGCTAAAAATCATAGTTTCTAGGGCATCTATAAATTCTCACTTTGCTGTTAGTACTCTAAATGTGAGATCTCGTCGAATGGGCATCCTACTTGACAGTTTTGACATAATCAAAACCAAAAGAAAGATAGAAATTGCAAAATGGTAGGATAGCTCCCAGAGTCACTTTGGAGAGGTAAACAAAGTGACAGAGTTCACTTTAGCATGCACTCAAAGATGACAAGAAGTTGTCACTTAGGTCTCTCTGACTTCCTTCAGATCCCAACTAAAAATCCTACCTTCAACAGGAAGCTTGTTTTCTGATCCCCTTTAATTCTAGTGCCTTCCCTCTGTTGATTACTTCCAATTTGTCATGTTAAATAAAATTATTTGCATGTTGTCTCTCCCACTAGACTGCAAGGACTGTCTTTTACCTTTCTTTTTATCCCCAGTACTTAGCATAGTGCTTGGTACACAGTAGGTGCTTAATAATTTAGGTTGACTTTTGGTATTTATTTCTTTGGTTTTTCAGAATTTCCATTTCGGTATCAATTTTTTTTTTTGTTTTTGTTTGTGTGTGTGTGTATGTATGCTTTTCTAGCTTTTTTTTTAGTTGAATGTAAAATTCATTGGTCTGTTCTTTCTCTTTCCTTCACCCAGATGCCAATCACAGGTTTTTATCTTTTTTTTTCTTTCCTTTTAATATCCCCTTCATGATCTACCTCAGAGGTTGGAGTTTTACCTTTTCAACTAAACTTCCAGAATCAACCTTCCTCTTGTTCCTTGTCTTTCTCTCCCACTTTCTGTTTCCATGTTGAGTTGAATTTCTTTTTACACCAAAATCTGTGTGTTAGTGTGTGTGTGTTTCTTAACTAGTTCAGATGAAAATAAGGCTCAAGTAAAGCCAACCCCTTTTACATCTTCCTCCAAGTTTGTATAATAATTTTCTTGCACACCTTGACTTTGTGAGAGTTCCCTCTCCCCTTCCTTTCTCTTTTCCTTTCTATTGAATTCTCTTTCCCTCCCTATTCATTCTTCTTTTAAGATTTTGAAAGCATAGGAAAACTAATTCTAGACCGGTTGTCTTATTAACTCCTTCGATGACTTTTGATAACATTAGGGTTCTCAAGAAACACTTTTTTCTCACCTTCGTATTTGAATGTAAATACTTCATCCTTGAGCAGTTCCTTCTAATTGCTCAAGCATATTTAACTTTTTAGAGCAGCTAGTTGCATAGTGGATAGAGTGCTGGGCCTGGCATCATGAAGACTCATCTTCCAGAGTTCAAATCCAGTCTCAGATACAACTAACTAGTTGTGTGACTCTAGGCAAGTCACTTAACCCTGTTTGCCTCAGTTTCCTCATCTATAAAATGAGCTGGAGAAGGAAACGGCAAACCACTCCAGCATCTTTGCAAGAAAACCCCAAATGGAGTCACTAAGAGTCAGAGACAACTAAAACAACTGAACAACAATAAATTTACCTTTCATTTTCCTTTTGATTCCTCAGAGTTTCTATATAACTTTGGTCTTATTATTAGGAATACTTTAAATTCCTCTATTTCATTAGAGGTCCATTTTTTTTTCCCTCAAAGGTTTATTTTTCCCATGTAAGTGATTGTAAGCATTTACCTTTTGCCTTTTGGAATATTATATTCCAAATTCTCTTGGCCTTTATCATGGTATATGTTTCTGACTATGATTCCTCATTCTTTTGACAGCTTGAAAGTGTTTTTTTTTTCCCTCTTTGATCTGAAAGCTCTATATTTTGACCATGACCTTCCTAAGAGTTTCCGGCAATGATTCTTTCTGTTTTCACTTTGCCCTCTGTTTCTAATAGGTTTGGATATTTTCATTCATGAAAATTCATTCATTTCATTTTTGCAATGTGGTATTCAAGCTCTTTTTTGTTCATAGTTTTCAGGTAGTCCACTGAATTTTAGTTTTTTTTCTCCTTTGATATGAAATGCTTAACATTTTCTTCTATGTTTCAGTTTTTATTATTTTGTTTTTTATTTCTTGGTGTCCCATGGAGTACTGTTTTATACATTCTCATTTTCATTGTTTGTTACTTGGTTAAGGATTTGCTATGAATTTTCCTTCCAAATCTTTCCGCTAGAGCTCTAATTTCTTTTCTCTTTCTTTCCTCAAGAGCTCTCATTTAATTTATATCATTTTTAAAATTCTTGCTTCATTTGCTCTAGAAATTCTAGTTGATCTTGTGGCCAAACTGTGTATTTGTTTGAGACCTGCAGTTGTTATAGAGATATTCTTTTCTTCAGAGTTTATGTCTTGGGTTACCTGGATTCATAATCTTTATTATCAGTGGGTTGGGTTTTTTTTATCTATTTTTCCAATATTACTTCTTGAACTGGGATTTTGTGTCAGGGTTAGGCTTTTGTATTTATGGAAGGAATGTCTGGGCCTTGTCCAGTCCTAATCTATATTATCTGGTGTCCTGGTATTGCTTTCTCTTGCCATTGAGTACTATGTTTTTTGCTTTTTGGGGTTTTTTTTTTGGCTAGGCAATGGGGTTAAATGACCTGTCCTGGGTCATAAAGCTTGTAGGTGTTATGTGTCTGAGGCCAGATTTGAACTCAAGCCCCCTGAATTCAGTACCTTATGTGGTCTAATCTAGGACTCAGTCTGATTGCTGCCCTCCCAATCTGAATTTTGCAGGCTCTCAATCCTAGTCTTCATCTGGGAAATATAGCTATAGGCTTTTCCTTGATTAGAAATCCAGTAGACAGCTGTGGGCTCCAGCTCCTCTTAGATACCTGGCAATCCCTTAAGGTTCAGAGCAACAGAACTGTTGGCCTTTCACACGGGAACTTTCTGCCCTGGCTACTTAGCTTCTGTCTCCATAGGTTGGAACCATGCCCTCCTTTGAGGTCAGAACAACAAAACTGTAGACTCTTCCCTAGTCCACACACTCTACCCTAATACACAGCTGTAGTCTCTAGTCTTGCTTCAGGCAGAACAACAATTCTGTAGGTTTGTCCCTGCCCAAAGCATCTTGCCTGGTACACAAGCAGCAACTGCAGGCTCATATCTGTTCACAGGATAGAAGGCTTCTTCCTGGGCCTTCCTGGCTGCATCATCTACCTAAAGCTCCTAGGCCTCAGGATGTCTCCTAATCTGTGCTGTAAAGCTTCACAACCCCAGTCCAGGTTGAGAGTTACAAAGCTATTACAAAGCTATTTCTCATTCTTACTTTTTCCCTGAATATGGTTATAAGCATCAGCCCCATCTTCTGGAGAGAAGGATTTTGACCTCCTAGCTAGACCTTATCCCCGGTGCCTGTAGGGCTCTGACTTTCTCCCTGTGCTGATTTGGGCCAGAAAATTGATTCACTGTGGTTTCTTTTTGGATTTCCTGATCACTACTCCATCTGGTGTTCTCCTCAATTTTTGTTGTAGTAATTGTAGGAGAGTGCTGGACCCTAATACTGCCTCTTCCTCTTCTACCTTTGCTGGTCCTCCTAATGTT